AACTACTCTCTCTCTCTCTCTCTCTCTCTCTCTCTCTCTCTCTCTCTCTCTCTCTCCGCATTCGAAGGACACATTCTTACCTTGAATATGTTGTAGTAGAGAAACACCATGATGATGCAAGGTATGTAAAAGCTGGATAGGCTCGAGTATATGATAAAGTCTGTATTGTAGAAGAGGCATTGGTCCGGTGTCCGGTCGGGGGTGTTATTCAAGCCGAGAACAATCGGGCTGCCGATCGCGGCAGATATCGCCCAGACCAACAGTATCGTCAACCACACTCTTCTATTGTTCTTGTGCTTGGCGTATTTTATCGGCTGGGTCACTGCTATGTATCTGCAATTCAAATTCATCCCGCGTATCGTACGCTGCCCCCACACTCCCTCCACCCCTCGCTTCATGGGCATTACGTTACCGCAAATCGACGATGGATCCGCTAACACCTTGCTAACCCACCCCTCCTCCCTTCCCGCGAATGGCTTGTTCAATTTATTATATCTCTTAGCCTGACCGACGACGCGAATTTCGCAACGGTAATTTTCTGTTTTCATTCCTCTTCTCTTCGAGAAGAGAAAGCGAAAAGTATTTTTCTTTTTTGGAAAATTTCAAATTTTGGGGAATAAAGAGAGCAAGGATTGGAAGGATCGTCGATAATATTTTTCGCGATTCGATTCGATAATATTTTTAATAATTTTAAAGTGAACGAATGGAAATCGAGGTATTGGAGAAATTTTGTATCACCTCGTTCATTTTGTATCATCAAGTTTCGTTCGAGTTGTATCGAAAATATAGAATTGGTATTCGATTCTGACTTCAATTCCTGGTAAAATTGTATTCTCTTCTTCGTGTTCTCGAGTTAATTTCACGGTAGAGAAGAAAATTCCGATTTATTCCGATCGATCAAGATTGTCTAACTCCCCCCCCTCCTTCCCCCCTAATTGCTCACGCCATCTTGCGACGAGACGAAATTAATCACATCGAATCGAGAAAGCGGAAAGAAAATCATGATTAATTAAGTTAAATTACTGGTGCTTGTTCTTGAGGATTTCTGGAAGACGGATGACAAGGGACGGATTTGGATTCTCCAACTTTAAGTAAGAATCGCGGCAGGATCTTTAATAAAGTGCACCCATTTTTCCGCATCGCGACACGAATATTTTAACATGCAAATGCGAGAAACTCGGTATTAATCATTCGACTGTATCATTCGCGGATGAATGCGCGTCTTGCCTTCTTCGACGACTATGTCCAACTTAGTCTCAATCTGTGTCGATAGGAATTTATCAGATATGATTTTCGATACACAAGTTCCAAAGGGACGGCGAGAAAAAGAAGAAGGAGAAAGGAAAAAAGAAAAAGAAAACAACTTCGATATCGAATAAATTCTATGAATTGCTCGTAAGTCAGTCTGATTGATTTTATTCCAGCCACGTTCCACGTGGGAAAACAAACGATAGGTTTCGTAAATTTGAAAGAATAACGAAAAAAAAAAAAAAGAAAAAGAAACTGATCGACCTCTCTTTCGACTGGACGACAGTTATTTCGAAACCTTGACGAAACTTGATTTACAGAAATAGCAGACGTCCCTTTCAACTCGTTTCACAGAACGAACAAACTCGGGTCCTTTTCTCTCCGAGTCTCGTCCGAATTATTCGTGTCACGTAAACCGGTTAAATCAAGCTCCACCCTTTTTCAAGATTTTCGCTGCTTTCTCGACAATCCCAGCTACGTAATTTTGCCGCAATCGTGCAAAACAAATGCAATACGGGCGACCGTTGTATTTTATTCCGTGGAAGGGCTTCGAATTACGTTTATTACATCTCCTCCTCTGTCCATCTTTTTCTATCACGTCGAGAGAGAACGACTCGTAAATCGACTCGCCCTTTCGTTTCGTCCACCAACCGTCACGAATCCCGCGATGTCTCTTTCGGTTTCCTCCAGTTGCACGGATAAAGCAAGGTTTTATGGGCAAGGTCCGATCGACGAAACGTTGTGAATGGATTTCGAGGAAAGAATCAGGGATCGCCTCTCTTCCCTCTCCTTTTTTTTGAAAATGGGACGCTCACCTGTCTATCGAGATTGCTACGAGATTGAAGATGGAACTGGTGCTGCACGTGACGTCCATTGCGATGTAAAAGTCACAGACAAAGCCGGGCAAGCTCCACGACCCGTTTACCTGAAAAATGAATGAACCAACTGTGAAGATTAAAACTCACCACCAATCGTGCCAATTCGGATTAGCTTTCCTCGTTCTGTGGGATCCGCGAATTATCGATCCGATCGATTCATCGTTTAGCTCTCCGTTCGTGCGAATAAACAGGCGGGTAAATGGCACAAGTGGCGTCAAAGAGATCGATTCAAATTGTAAATCTTTAAGAAAAATAATCTGGCGAACGAAAAAAGACACGATTATTCGATATATAACTGATTTATTCGCCTTGATTTAGTTATCTGGTCAGAGTTGGATATTATTTCAAAAAAAAAAAAATTAATCAAAATTTCGAGTTGAGTTATTTTTAAACTTGTTAAACATTATTTAAAATGCTAAATATAACATTTATTCTATGATAATTGTGCGGTTATTCCATGTTTTCGGCAATAAATCATGCGAGTAACTTTTAGCTTTTCTACTTGTCCGACTATAACGCGTTTATACTACTTAACCGCTTCTCGCGTGCGTACATGTTCGTCTGATCCTGATTGACCTATGCTACACCTCTCACCGTGATTACATTACTCGATTAACCATGATTTACTCGTGCCTCATCACTTGCTCTACTATCCTCGAGAATATGCATATACCGTTCCATCAACAATTCTGCCCTTCCTCCACGGATTCTCAAAAAACAACTATTGGAAATGAGAAAAATAAAATTGTTCCCGCTTCTGAACGTACGATACGCATCGAACAAAATCTCTGAACAATATCAAAAAAGAAAAAGAAAGAAAGAAAGAAAGAAAAGAAAAAAAGGAATACCGCTATTTTTTTTTCAAACTAACGATATTCCTCGTTTCCGTCTTCTCATGCTTCCGCTTCGCCATCCGTCTTTTTATTTTCGAAATCACATCCGTGGCCGCGGTAGATCTCCTTCCGTGCGTATCCATACCAAAGCCTGTTCTGTGATTTATTTGGAGCAGCCGTGCCTCGAGTACGGGATCGGACGGGCGCGGGTCGAAACGCGCCTATCACCTCCGGCTATGCGTACACGCTGTCTCCATTCTCTGTTAAACCGGCGGATTTCACAGCGTTGAATTTCCTCTACCTGTGTTATTATTCACCTGCGGTGTATACGCAGGGAAGGGGCCATTCCTCGTTTCGGTTAAATTATTTCGATTGCTTTCACCAATGGCTCCCTATTTTTCCTCTCTCTTTCTCTCTTTTTTCTCGCGTTTGCTCACAATGATTCGAAGAAGCTTAGCCAGGATGAAAATTTAATATTCACACTGGCGCGTGCACGAGGAAATTAACCGGCCGGATTTTCAATCTCTTTGTATCGATCGCGTTCCACGACAACGATAAATTCTTGGGGGGAAAGGGATTTAGAAAATGGCATTAAGTTGCGTATCTCGTAGCCCGGACATCATATTGATCGGACTGCTATATTTTACGTATAAGCAGAGCAGAAACACGACCAGACTATCGATATTTTATGACATTGTTACATCACTGAAATATATAATGGCGCATTCTTGCTCTATCAAATAGTCACGATTTACTAACTTTCACAAAAAGCGTTATTCTTCTTCTTCTTTTTTCCTTTTTTCGTATTTCGGTGTTTTTTGCAATACTTTCTCAGCGCTTTGGATTATTTTTTTTCTTGTTTTTCGACAGAAAAAATCGTGGAGATGTGGTATTTACACGTACAAACATGTACGTACGATGTTGAACGTAGAAATTCAGCCCGTTAACGATTAATTATTCTTTATCAGAGTTATTCTTTCATCCATATCAATTAAACGAGGAAATTTGTATGAATGATAAAAAAGAAAACAGAGAAAAATTATTGTCTGGATACACACAGGTTTTATACATAAATATACCTCGAGCTCGAAATTCGTGTTCCATTTAAATTTTTTGAAATAATCGTAACTTTGAACATCGTTTTGATGCATCGATTTGTTACGTATTCCTCTAACAATCGAACGATCCGAACCGTATTGTTTTATATCATTTGCGCAAACGAGTTTTATCCAATTATAACGTACAACGTATACGTCGTATGTTTCAAAGGAAACATATATCTCCAAGCAAAGAAGAACTTAACAAACGTTCCAACAATGTTTATCGTTAATTCTGATCAAAAACATTTTTTCAAACGCTATTATCCCACACACTGCCACCTCTATTAAAATAGAAATTTTAGATCGCTTTCAAAAAATCGTAAAAAAAAAAAAAAATCAAAGTTGTAAAAGAATACGAAGTGTACAGTGTTAAACGAGTAGGATAAATCTTTATAGTAAGTCTTTACGCTTTTACTACTCTTTTAATTAATTTTACGAACGAGCATCGCTGGTTTAAAAGTAACGCGGAGACGAACAAAAGAATCGTAAAGAAAAAGTTTCATTTTATTCATTATTCATTTTACAATTTGAAAAAAAGTAACAGCTCAGACTTTATATATATATATATATATTATTATCAGAAATCACACGTTAAATTTACTTTCTCACACGAAGAATTCCAATTTTTTCTAAATTGAATCGAAGTCGCGTTTCTCGATCATTTCAAAGGCGGTTCGTTTTTAGTGGAGCGCGTTCGAAACAAATAGATCACGAGTAGACGACACGTCGTTAATTGCGGGACACAATCGCAAATCCCCGCGGCGTGGCCTGCGCACATCGAGTATAAACATCGTTGTAATCTTTGCGCGAAGTTGAGCCCCGGCCAAAATGCCAATAAACTATTTAGGACGAAGTAATTTAAGAGAGACGTGCGCACCAACTGCAACCAGCTGCTCTGTAACCACACCACACTTGTTATCCGATCCACATTGTTCCGTTACCCTTATTACTTATGAAACAAAGTATGCAAAATTCCTTCCAAACGCGTTTCACTCGTACGAACAAAGCCCCCTTTTAAACCGGCAAATACAGATTATTATCGCATTCCCTAATTTTCTTTGATGAATAATTACACGCTTAACCCACTTAACCAGCCCCGATAAAGACGTAACGACTTTACCGAGGAATTTTAGAAATTGGCCGTGAACTAATTAAACAACCATGATGATAACAATCGTAATTCTTATTTCCTCAAATTTTTTTTTCCCCCTCGTTTTTTCCATCATTTCCAAATTTCCCAACGTTTATTTCGATCGTTAGACTGCAATTTTTATCTTATACGATTCGAGCGTACGGCACTTCTCGATAGCCCACAGCTTATAGCACGGGTTATTAATAATAAACCCGGGAAGACAAAGCACAACAGGAGCGACGAAAGATTATGCTTGCCGCGGAAGAGGTGCGTTTTATATCTTCCAGCCGTATACCTTCGCATTCGAAGCCCTTTCCACGGGGTTAAATGAGCCGTAACTCCGTTGCGTGTTGCTCGGTAACGCGTCTCCCTCGCCAAGAGGGGGATCCACGTCGACGCGCTTTCTAAATAGACGCGCGTCACTTTTCACGCTGCGTGTCGGACAATTAATCGTCGAATAAATAATCGCCTAACCTAACTGCTTGATCGTCTTAATGCGCGATTCAGCCGGAAAATTTGTCCTTGCGATTAATCAATTCAGTTGTCGCTCGAACTTGTGAAGGATTATAATTGGTGGATGGTTTGTTCACTTTACCAATTGGACGATGAATAATTCGAAAGTATGCTTGCTTTTTGATTTTGAGGAAAAAACGACCCTTCCGGCCGATCTAATCTCCCTCTTCGCACGATCAAGTGATTTGTGGCTAGGGTATGAGGGATTATAATTAGAAAGCGTAATGCGAAAGTGCACCTTACGGTTGTTTCAGTGAGCTTAAAGAGAGATGTCGGGAGGAGAATAGCGAAGAAGAGTTTCTTTAATCGTAACTTCGATATACGTTGAAATTTCATTTCCTGTTTAAACACGTATTACACTGCATTCGAAATTATAGGGAAGGAGATAATTTGCATTATAATGATACGCACGATATAGTTAGGTTGAAATCTAGAACACAATAGTAGGTATTTACAATAGGCAGAGGTATTTCGTTATTTGTATCGGTGTGTGGAGGTAAGTTGGCGATTGTTTTATACGTATTTCCAGGATTTTGTTAATTCTCGTAGCATCTAAGGGAAGATGTATTTATCTTGTATTTATCTTCAGAGATACAACGTTGTTTTCGATATTGTTATTCTTCGTATTGTTTCTCCAATTCTATTTGCAGGGTAAATATTGGTTTCTCGATATAAGTCGATAAACGATGAAACGAAATTAAGAAGCAGAATGAAAATAAATTAGCTCCATAGAAAGTTGCTCTTCGTGGTACTCCTGTTTCGATCTACTCCGTATAATATACTCGATCCTCGTGTATAATACAGATCGTGTATGCACTACGCTTGATTGGTTGCAGAGGACGTCAAGGACACCCCCGGTAACACACTCGAAATTGTCGAGCATCGATATCAAGAGTTGTTTAAGAGACAATACGGTTATTAATTTTCCTATAAAATGCATATTCCCAATAGTCTCGTATTGTACCAACTTGGAATGAAATTTATATCACCTTTATTTACAATTATATCGACATAAATATATCTAAAGATCGGTAATAATTAAAACTTTCGTATCTTATTCCTCTGTTTCTCTCCTCTTCGTAGAAAATTTATTTCCAACCGAGTATATGATCGGCAACAGGATTCCCTTTTCTCGCAGTTCTTTCGCGAAAAATGACGAGAAATGTTATCTCCTCTTATATGTATATTAAATCCGAAAGCCAGTCGAAAATTCTCAAATTTTAACGAACCACTCTATTTCGTATGCTCGCCAACGACCCTCCCTCTAGATCCATCGGGAGAAAGAGAGAGAGAAAGAGAGAGAAAGCTGCGAATATCGTTGTTTGATGGTCGTTTGGAAAATGAAGCCGTGAAAGTTTCAGAGAAAAACAGGAGCGAACGTTGCTGTTGAAATTTAACGATGTTGAGAAACAGAGAAAGAAAAGGGAGAACGTTTATTTTTTATATATAATAAATTGAGATCTAGAAAT